ATTTGTATATTGAGTTGATATCGACATTGGGGACCTCGGTGATAATATTTTATCTAAGAAATAGCCAGAAAATTGGATTGATTTTAGAGTTTAATGATGGCACAAAAACGAGAACTTAAATGACATTACGCACCGAAAATAACAAAATCAAACTGTGTCATAGACTCAGTTTGAGACGAAACAAAATTAAGTTCATTAGAGTACTTTGGACAAAAAATATACAAGTAACTCACATTTATAGTCTTCGCTTTGGAGACGTGGAACATATACAATGAAACCTCCATAAGTTGACCACTTGTGGTGCGTTGTTTTAGTGGTCAATTTGGACTGATTGATTGATTGATTGAATATAGGGTTTAATGGCACAAAGTCCAAATAAGGACATGCTGCGCCAAACAATACGGTATAATAGTCAATTTGGACATATGGTCCGCTATTGTTCTTTACATTTACTTTACGTAGTTCACGTTATAAGCGTTGTTATTCATATATTTATTATATGTCAATCTCAAAATAATATGTCAGTATCAAAATTATGATAAATGTAACTAAATAATTTAACAAGATTTTAAAACTTTATTTATCAAGTTAACCCATATATCTAAAGATAGATTAATTACCAAAATTAATTTCGATTTGTTAAGACTTCAATTTGTTAATGTTAAAACTGATTAGTTAAAAAAATATCCTTATTTTGTTAGAGATGTATGCCAGACATTTATTATATATAATTTTTTTTAAATATTAATACACTAGAACAAATAAAAATTTAGAAAACATAACATTATATTCAATACAAAATTTTGAATTTAATTTTGTTGTTTGTACTTACAATTTTTTGTAGCAAAATTACTTAATAATTTCCGCACATGGACAACTTATAAAAGGGTTTAGATGAACTCTTAATTCTATTTAATAAATTCAGTGAAATTTTAATACTTAACATCATGGCATAGAAAATTGTCTTGTAAGTTTTTTCCTGGGTTAACTTGAAAAGGTTAAAGATTGCTCTTAACGACATTTCTAGACAAATTTAACGTATTTCTGCTATCAACGTATAAAATAAACGTAGTGAGGTTACAAAGGGATTGCTCTTTTTTATTGCATAAGATTAATTCAGTTCTTGTTCGTAATCAACAAGGTCAACTTTACAGGTTTCAGCAATAGGGTTAAAAAATAGGATAAAATGAGTTCCAAATTTTACTTATTTTACTTAATTGTATAACAGATTTAAATCCAAAATTACTTCTAACAAAAATTTTATTGCAAAGTGAAAAAGAAAAACGATTTTTTTATACATATTTAGTTTTTATAAATATATATAATATCAACCTGTTATAAAACAATTTGTTCAAAAAATTGCTTTAGTTTTCCAATTTTAAGAATGTTTCACTTCAAAATCGCAAGGTGTGCGACTTAATTAATTTGCATAAGATATGTCAAATTATATGAATGTAAAAACATTTGAACTAATTGTAATAAATATTAACTTTAAAACAATTATAAAATCAAAATTAAAGTTTGTTTTAAGAAAATATTTAAAATTCAAAACAACAGCAACAAAATTGTAATTTCTAATTATTTAATAGACTCTTCAACAATTCTTATGCATTAACATCAACAAGAATTTTCAGTTCTTATTTTGTGATGAATCAGTTTTTAAATGCAGGCGTTTCTTGAAAGGTAGGAACAATAATAAAAGCTACGAATTCTGAATTCCATTGATAGGATAAATTATGCTGCACTAAACATTCACAATATACTTTTCTATTGAAATAAAATTTGAGCTATAACTTTTTTCATCGAATTTCAGGACAACAGATTATCTTAAATAATAAATTTATGGGAAAAGCTATTGACATTGCTACATTACATTTTTTAGACAATTCTTTTTTTCACAAAAAAGAATATGACAATTTGTTATTGAAATATTACATAAAAATGTAAAAAAATACTTAATTATATGAAAAATTATTTTAAGAACGGATAAAAAACTTTTAGGAACTAAATTTTTATTTAATTTTTTTATTTATAATAATAGCGTGGTTTTTAATGTTACAGTTTTAAATATGCATCAAAACACAAAATTGCTTTTCTAAAAATGATTCACACACTAAAATAGAACTTATCAATTGTTGTCATTTGTTAAGGATATTACCGAATAATCCTATTTAAACTTTATACTCTTATTTTTATTTGCAAACATCTAGACATTATGTATTTAGTTTGTTTTTTCTTTTGTGCTGCATTTGTTAAATTAGCATCATAAATGACCAAAATAGGACATCCTTGTTGAAAAAAAAAGAATTTTTTTTTAAAGGAATTTATAGAAAATTTTTTGGAATAATTTATGTCAATTCATGTCCCTAGATCGAATAATAAATTTACTCTAAAAATTTTGCTGTTAATTAAAAACTTAATTTTTATCAGAGCTTAAAGTTTAGATATGCGTTATGTTACCATCTTTGAGAACTACCCAAATGGTAGTAGTAGTTGGATTAATATAAAGGCTATGATCCAAATTTAGTTTACAAGGCATAGAGGAAAAAGAATTGAGAGAAAAAATTATTTAAACTCCGATATTTAACTTACGCGTTCATTGAATAAAATAAATCAATGAAAATTTAAAGCAAGCTGCTTAGTCTGCTGAAAAAGTTCTACAAAAATATCAATACTGATTGCTTTAAAAATTCAAAAAATAAACCCACTTAGGTATCAACTTATAATTTTAAGCAGAACAAACACAAACAATCTCTGGAATGGAATATCACATGATGTAGCCGGTTTTTATGGTATTATTTTCAAGTTCTGTAGAAAACGAAGGAAATGCAATACCTTTAAATATTCAAAAGTTTCCGTAGAAACTTAATTCTGTTAAACACAGGTCGGTCACCCTTGACCGATACGCACGATTTGGCGCGAAAAAAAGAAGGGAAAAAGTTATAAAATTCTCTCTTTATCGTCCATCTTTTCAAACGAAATTATTTAGTCATCCAATTTAAAAGAAAAGATCCGACCTTAGGTGCTCTGATCATTAGCTCTCTACCATTTTGTTGTTAAGAAACGTGAACGGTATAAAAACACTTAATACAGAGTGCAATGTTTTTATTGGAGAATTAGCGGTAATTTGTAGATTATTTACGGTGTGGTGATGAAGATTAACGGTAAGGGTATGTCTAATCTTAATACCCTATTGTAGCTTACCCGAACTTCCTTTAAGAATTTCTGCACTAACTTCAAAGAAAGAAGATAAGAAGTGGTTGATTTTTATCACTTGTAGCAATATTGTCTTAATGGAAGAAAGTTATAAGTGACATTTTAATGAATTTAGAAAGATCAACTTTAACAAGAAGAAGAAGCTTTTAACGAAACACATTAAAGCTGTCCTATTCAATGATCTGTCAGAAAAAAATATTAAATTTCTATGCATGCAGCTGATTATATAATGTATTTTAATAATAATTGTAATACAGGGTGCGCTGCCAAATTATTCAACAAAAAATAAGCACCTTTTAAGCACTCAAATAATTTTTTAATTAAAAATTATTATTAGGTAGGATTGGAAAGTTTGTGACAATTGACGGTTTTATCTAGTTTTAACCGACATGTCAAAAAAAAAAATGTTCGGCATTGTTTTTGACAATTGTCAAAATTTTTGAATCATGTAAATCAAATGGCGTTTTATTAAGCTACGGACTGACGATACGCCGAAATAGAATGGGGTTGAATTAATTGTGAAAACGTTGAATAGGACAATGTGAAAAGTGTCTTTCTGCGTAATTCGCAGCGAAAATCAACATGGCAAAGGAAAAATCTCATTTTGGAAAAGGGAAAATTAAGCACTTTTTTAAAAACACCCAAAAAGCACCTTTAAGGGCTTTTAAAAACGAAAATCGAAAATAAGCACCTTTAAGCACTTTTTAAAACCGCTGGTACTTTATTTACGTAGCACAACAGCAACACAATCGGCTACTGGCGACGATCTGGGAAACATCCCTGAGAATGATTCGAAAACAATTTGATCTAAGCACAGGGGATGGCTACCACGGTTTGGTCACGACTTGAGAGAAAAATCAAACATTTTACGGTAGAACAATTTAAGAAGACCGATACAGCGTACCATCAGTTCCTTCGCAATCTGAACAATGTGGTTACCCACCCACGTACGGACGGCTACCAATGATGGTTGACTTGAGGAATCTACTAAGAGCTGTGAATATGTTTTAAAATACTTCTTAAGATTATTCTTAAGAACTAGTCTGAGCAGAAAAGTGCTTTAAATATTAATATATTCAACATTATATAGTAAAACATTTAAAGAAACAACAAAAAATATTTAATGAAATGAAGTTTTCCTTTGTGGTGTTATTCGGAAGTACATAAAAAATTCCAGATCAAATTACGGTATAAAGTACCTGCATTTTGGGTGCATCACCCGTGAAGTTCATTTTGGCAATAAAATAATATACCATAATTTTTACATTAATATTTATTTAATTAAAGTGATCAGTCGACTTTATGGTAATTATTACTGCAAAAATTATGGTATATCAGAATTTTCGTTCCACTGCCACAATACGTTCCGTAAATTTAATTTTTGGTTCCGGAAAAATGGGTTTTACGGAGAAAAAAAAAAGCACCGGTTCTCTGAATGCTCATACTTTTCACAGTAATTTGATCTGGAATTTTTATACAGTATGACCTTTATATATTAATGGTTGCCGACGTTCTTATGGGCGTTCAATTAAAAGTTACATTTTGTTGTGGCGCGCAAAAGCTGTAGAATCTAGTGTATTAGCACTCCTCAAACTTGTTTTAATGAAAATACACTATGTTTTTCCATGATAAATGGTGAAAATCCTCATCATAATATGATAAAATTAATAAATAAAATAATTAATTAATAAATTAATTAAATAATAAATTAATAAATAATAAATTAATAAATTAATTTAATTAATAAATTAATTAAATAACATTAAATAATTAATGTTCCATACCTTCCGTTATATGATACTGCTCTCTTTCCTTTTCCCAACTACTGAAACTGGCAGATATAGCCTGTGCCATTTTCTGATTTGTCCCTGGAGTGAGAGGTGGCACTTGATTCGGAAGATCTGAAATACAAGTGCCAAATTATAATAGAAATTACAAGACATTAGTGCAACATAGCAAGAATAAGTGCAACATTACAAGAATGCACTCAATAAAATTTTTGTTTATGACCAAATTATGAGAGCATAAGGCTTAAGGATGGAAGGAAAGATGCTCTCAATAATCTAGTTAATCTTTTAAGACCAAATTATAGGGTTAAGTTTTTAGGTCAATCAACAATGTTTTAAAGTATTCATTTAATTATTTAAAACCAAATTCAATACTATTTACGAAGCAGAGAAAAAAAAAGTATGGCAAAACAACCAGAATAAGATAAAATTTATCGTGTTTTTGGCTCTATGGGATCACAAAAAAAAAAAAGCTGGGTAATTTTGCGCTCTGTAATGATTTCGATAAAATTAACAATAGATTATGGTTTTATAATGCGTGATAAAATTTGGTAAATTCGGTTGTTTTATCATGTTAGTTTAGCTCATGGCCGAAAAGTCGTTTACTCGATTAAATTTACTTTTCAACTTTGTATTTTTTACTAAATGTGCAGTGATAGGAACTATACTTTTGAAAACCGGAATTTCTGATAAACCGTTACCATAAGAACGGAAAAATCACCAAATGAATGCTTATATTTCGGTTTTATTAACCAGAATTTTGTTTACTTTTTACCACAACTGTTATTGCAATACAGGACGGTAATTTTATCAGAACTTTCTTCACCGTGTAGAACAAAATTTAATTTCAGTAATTTACTTAAAACTAAATTACAGGTGCATTAGGATTATATTGAGCTTAATGATGGTTAATTAATTTAATTTTCTGAGATTAAATTATTGATGTTTAACCTTTTCCTTCGTCGTAAATTTTGATTGAAAATTTTGCGAAGACAGCATAATAGCAACTGCGATCGTTGATTCTGAATTCTAGACAAAGATATAGACTTGTGCTCCATATCGTTTAAGGAATAGTGATATAGCCTATAAAACGAAGGATGATGTATAAGTTTTATATTCTTAGTATATAAGTTTTTATATTTTTATAGTATGTAAGTTCTTTTAGTATATAAGTTTTTATATTTTTATAGTGTATAAGATTTTTAGTATATAAGTTTTTATATTTTTAAATGAAGTAATAAGTTTTAAATTTTTAGTGGTCTGCAACACTTATGAAATGAGTGTTTCCAGATTTAACATCTGGAAAGGTTATGGCTAATCGAAAATGCCCTCAGTAATTTGCTTCCTTAATTTAGACCAAAATATATGTGCTTAATGCATTTAGTCGATTCAAAATGCTATAAGTATAATGCAAGACAAAATAATAGGGTCATGAGGCTCTTACTAGTCGCTTAACTTACAACTCTATTGATTCGAAAATTCTAAGCTAACTAGCGAAATTATTTAAGATTTTATTATTATGCATTTAAAATATAATAATTTCAAGATTGTGTCATGCAAGTTTTAGGTTTTTCAATAAACATAATTGGCTTCTTTTGAGTCTTTGGTCTTTGTTTTTATATTTGTTAGTAAACTAAATAGCGGCACATGACCGTATATGAATTTTCTCAACACGTATTTACTCGGCAAAAAACAATGTTAAAATTAAGACTGTTTCCCGCTAACGCTTATACAGAGAAAAAGAAAATCAAATTAATAACTATCCAAGGAATGTAGATATTCGAACTTTTTGCATTTTTTTTCTCTGACTATTAACAGAACACTGTTTCCAGTTAAAACACTAAAGTTTTGTGAAAATTAGAGGGAAAATTAAATTATTAAAAATTGACAAACGAATGTTCATACTTTTAAGAAATTTTTCTTTTTTTAAACCTCTGATTAATGAGAAATATTTATGCCAAAAACAACACAGTAAAATTGTTGGAATAATTTTTGTAAAATATTTGTTATATTTGTTTAAAAACTATCGAATAATCCTAGAGAAATACAGCAACTAGCATTCAATGAATTAAACTAACTTTATTTTAATTACAAAAGAAATAGAATGCACTTTTACGAAATACTTTTTTTTTCAATTCTTTTAAAATGTGATGCAAAGGTTAGCTTATACAAATCCTTGATGAGTGTACACTAATACCTATTGTGACACTTTTCTCGGATGAGCGCGTCCCCTTGTTTATAATTTGTAAAAGATAAAAATGTAAAAACCCTTTGACCCACAAAAGTACAAAACAAAAAGGGACTTAACAAAAAAAGGGGGTCTCAGTCGGCGCACGTCGAGCCAAATTTCGCAAAACGAAATGTCGCGTTGCCCAAGAATTTTTAATGGTCATTACAAAGGCGGGGAGCATAGGTTGAGTTGTTTCTTCACCTCTCGCTTATTATCGTTTGGTCCGAAGTTCTGACCTCACGCCATCGTTTGACATCGGCTCGGATTGTTTAGTGCTGAAAATGACAGCATTGTTCCACAGTTACAAAGGCGAATGGGTCATTAAGATTTGGCATGTGCACAGGGACATTGTCAATTCAAGCTTTGTTTATGTTTCAAATGTGGTCGCTTTTTATCGATTAGAAACTTCAATAAAAAATGCGATGCTTTTCTCCAAGCATATATAATAAAGATATAATTATTGTCTAACCTATTGGCATTTGATCAGAAAAATCACGTGATATGACTATTAATCACTAAGAAGGACAAGATATTTTTTGACTGATATCAGTATAAAATTAATAAAAGCTATAACGGTATTTACCTGCAATGCTCATTTATCACTTCTTCTTAATATCATGATGATATTATTTTGATTAGGTTCAATATTAAAAGTGTTGTTCTTTTATAGATTAAATTAGTCACATAATTTTCGGAAAAAGTCATTCTATGAAGAACGCGTCATTCTGTGAAAGATATTGTTTTGTTTGATGTCGTGAAAGTTCAAAATTGATTAAAAATCGATAATGATTTATGCGTTTAGAAATTGACAGTCTCTATTACTTCGATAATGGAAATTCAAATTTTACTACAGAGTAAAATATTTATACTTTCTTCGTATGCACTACTTTCGAAAAATGCAATAATACCTGTAAATTCTCCTGGAATTCCTGGGAAAATTTATTATATTTCGTGTAAAATGTTTGCATTTATACTGGATTCTTGCTTTATTCCTAAAAGTAGAAAGTGCTCAAAAACTGCAGCGTGCAATTTTATAGAGACACACAATTTATGGAGCAGCCCTGCAGAGAAATTCATGTTAATTTTATATACTGTACATAATATTTGTTTAATTTTGTAGGAATTTATTCATAATTTGACATTCAACTAATTAAGGTTCTCTTTTATTATTTTATTTTATTTATCGTTGAACAGCTGACCCAATTTCGGGTTTACGACTACTAATGATCAACTCCGTAGCCTTGCAATCTTGAACCCAATACAGAAGACAAGAGAACTCCTAGATTATTAGAAGAAATTTTGTCCTCGTGGAGGACTTTCTTAATGAAACTAACCCGCATTTGCGTTACAAGGAGAGGGAAACCACGAAAACCTCCCATGATTAGCTTGACAGCAATGATAAATTTAACCCATGATCTGTCTACCACTGAGGATATTTTTCATCAGCACTGTGGTCAGTACGAATCGTCTGTGGAATTCGAATTGAACAGCCATCGCTAGGATTCGAGCCCCGGGTCATCTTATAGGGAGGCGAATGCTATATCGCCTAAGCCACCGCAGCTCTCTCTCTCTTTTTATTGAAAATTTTGATTGCCAAATCGACGGTACCCGCAGAACATTTATAATTTTCAAAATTGCTGTTGTGAGACATTTGGCGCCATTCTACTCATAAACTTCAAACAAATTTGATTTAAAAAATTTTTTACTACAAAACGGGAACTAATTATCTGCTCACAAATGGCATTTCATTACCACTAAGGAAAAAAATTCTTCGTTGGCATGTTTGATATTATGTATAATTGTGCATTTCAGATGAAGAAAAAAAAAATAGTTTAATTTAGAATCGAAAGACTACGTAATACTAACATCATTTCCGATTCATCAATGCACGATATCAATCTCGCCCAATCACGGTGAGATTCGTGAACGGTACAGGATACCGGAAGTACGCAACGCCAGCCAAGGCGTTACAAAATATGAGACGATGAACTGTTCGCTTACCGCAAAAGACCCTTTGCTTTGCTGACACATCCACAGAGTTATGAACAAATAAAATAATGAACTTTTTCGATTTCCGGACAACCGACCGGATATTTACACTGAGCGATGTGGATAACAAGTGCAGAACCATATTCATCACCTATGTACGCACATGTGGGTCCGAATGTGCCGGAATTTCTGACAATAAATATTAATTTAGAGGCATATCGTAAGTTTTTAATCAAGCGGGAACTTTTAAAGGGATATGGGACATTTAAAGTGCATATTTTGCACCTTTTCTTGAATTAAACTAATATGTAATTTGTTTGAAATTTCTCTAAATTATTCTGGTTTTATGTTCAGATGTATGATCAAAATATTCTACTTCAACATACGGGAAATAATTGGGTCCGAATACTGTACCTGAAATATTTGTGGGTCTGAATGTACTAGACTTTTCTCACAATGAATATTAATTTAAAAGCATATCGTAAGTTTTTAATCATGCGGGAACTTTTAAAGAGATATGGGACTTTCAAAGTGCATATTTTGCACCTCTTCTTCAATTAAACTAATATGTAATTTGTTTGAAATTTTTTAAAATTATTCTGGTTTATTTTCAGATGTATGATCAAAATATTCTACGTTAACATACGGGAAATACTTTGGTCCTAATACTATACCAGAAATATTTGTAGGTCTGAATGTACTGGACTTTTCTCACAATGAATATTAATTTAAAAGCATATCGTAAGTTTTTAATCATGAGGGATCCTTTGAAGGAATATAGGACCGGTAAAGTGCAAATTTGACACTTTTTATTTAAACTAATAAGTAATTGCACTGAGAATTTAAAAAAAAATTGGCTTAATTTTGTGACTTTTAACGAAATTAATGCAAAATT